ATGTAATCACTAAATAATAAATAATCTATAACTAAGGTAATAAATGCTTTAGATGTATTTTGTCATTGTTGGGTCATAGTGTATATATATATATATATATATATATATATAATGCGCACACACACACACACACACACACACACACGCACAAATAATTATACATAAAGCTCAGATTTATGAAAATGATTGGAATGAGCAGAGCTAGAGGTAATCAGGCAGTAGAAGTATGATTACACTTTAGAGATGTGTCGTGTCCATGCTACATATTTCATAAAGACCGCAGTTAATTCTGCAACAGCAATAGCTGAAATAATGCACTGTATCATTACTGGGGCAGTTTCCTAATGGGAAAAAATCTGAGTATAAAAATACATGACCAGGAGGTGCAAAATGAGAATTACTTTGTGGTATACAGGACGATGATGCATTGAACCATCTACTCATTAAGTGCTGCACAGTTGAATTATCAACAAAACGGAACCACTCCAAATATTCACTTTATTAGTTAGTGCATCAAGACTTTTAGTTGAAGGGACTTAATGGTTTTTGTGCTTTCCATTTGCTGGCATTTCAGTAATGAAGCTGCAGATTTTTCAGACCAATCATGTTTTGAAGTCCTCTAATATCCACAGCAATCCCAACCATGAACGTGAGCACATGCTTATTGGATGCTAGTAGAAGAGAATCTGCATATATGAATTAGAAGCCTGCAAACTTCATGCAAAAAGTCTCTTAGACCTGTATGTTCCTTATTAGAAAAAAAGAAGACGTCTGTAGTTTAATTCCAAAAAACGGAGGGGGGATAAAAAAGCAGCAAAAATGGGTTATAAACACATGGCAGTTGTATGATTTAGTGGAGCAATAAAGAATAGAAAGGTGGCCATTCATCATGGGAGCAAGCTCACCAGGAGAGGACCTGTCATGGACACCGCCAAGTCCAGGAGGCAGTTCAGAGCACATACTCCGAAAACGGGCTCGGACCGATGGCTTTTCCAGACATCTTCAGATGCAGACGAGCTCACTGAGCGTTCAGCACTGTCCGCCATTTCTAAGCAGACACAAGGGGAAGATTCCGGGCAGATGGACAAAAGCGTAATATGGACAGCAGTGCAGAGCAAAGGCTGAAGTATGCCATGACCCGCATGAAGAAAAGACCCTGCGTACATCAGTGGACTGATATGATTCAAAGAAATAACATGTGATTGAAGTAATTACATTTGATTGCATGATACTTTCAGCATTGTATATTTTTATAGAATTATTATGTTGTATAAAATAATATAATAATAATAATATAATAATATACATTATTATATATTGTTGTTAAATACTACTACTACTACTAATAATAATACATCTCACTGCATTGCTGAATTCACGAGGTGCAGGAATAAAATATAAATACCTATATTTATATTTTGTGTTATTTGCCCTTAAATAGCCCAGTGACCCTAATTCAACTAAAACACACTTAACCAGAACTATCTAACCCATAAACGCACGCGCGCGCACACACACACACACACACACACACACACACACACACACACATATAAAATCTCTGTATATATCTCATATATATGAGATATAAACAGGGATGATTGATATAGATAGATAGATAGATAGATAGATAGATAGATAGATAGATAGATGATAGATAGATAGATAGATAGATAGATAGTATTAATAATACTAACTATATAGGTACTATAATATAAATATGTATTTTTTTTACGTCTCTTAGAGTATATGGGTAAAGTATGTATACAATAATTTGTTGAATCTATTTTAAACATAAAACAAAATAGGATGCAGTTATCAACATAAAACAGTTTCACAGCCAAATTCAGCACAATCAAACGACGTCTCCAGAGATTATAGTTAAAGACGATACTCTTCCATATGCATTCTGCTGGATTTTAAGGCCATGACACGCCGTAAATAGGCCATGATCTGAATGGATGTGGTTGTGTGATTACACCCATATGCAGTAGACTACCCTGCTTTAAAATGTGAGGTCAAAGTGTCACACACTCATACTGAAAATCGGTATGGCAGTAGTGTTCATTAACTCTTATAAACTTGAGTTCAGTACATGTGGGTGGAACAAACTGCTGTCAGCACAAGGTCATGAATGTTTCCCATGAAGATTCCAGCGGAGATCCCTAACTATTTCCTCTGTCGGAAGCTGTAAAATTGATTTTTTTGGTTTTATTTATTTTTTCCTCCCATATCCATCCGATGTGCCACTCAGCATGTTTTAACCATTTATTTCGTTTCGCCCACAAGACGTTGCATTTTCTAAATATGGCTATTTGAACTCGTCTTCATTCCATTTACACCACCATTTACATCAGCTTTCCCCTTCAGTCATTCGTCACTATTTAGTCACTCTCCAAAACTTGAAAGCCGTTGTCGAAGAGAAATGTGGTTTAGATAGCAGTGCTTTGCTTTTAAGTTTCTGCAGAAAATGTGCAACACCTTGTGCTGACCGAGTATGTCCATAACTGCTAATAAAAGGAAAAACACATGCTGGCTCCTCTGAAGAATTATAAAAAACTCCAGCCATTCAAGGCCTCTACGAAGCAGCTTTTAATTAAAACCACTTGTTCCCGAACTTGTACTTAATGTTTCCCATTAGTCATGTTTGAGGGATTACAGACAGCTCCAATGAAAGTCAAAGATTAAATGGAAAATGCAGATGTGCGAACAATGCAGCTTGTTTTATTGTGATCACTGTCATTTAGTAAGTATAAAAAATTAACTGGGTTTGACAAGGTTTCCTAATTTCTTTTCAATTAATGTTGACTTTGCTTTTTGATGGGGTTACTCGGGTCTGCAAAAGAGGGGGGCCTGGGTTCAAGTATACGTCCATGTAATGAAAAAGTTTTATTTTTTTATTTCTATTTATTTTGTATATTCAATTAGTTAAAATTACACCTTTTCTAGACCTTTTCTTTATTTCTTGATGATTTCATATGAAAGAAAAAAGTTTACAAAGAAGTCTACTTTAGACATTCTACTAACTATAAGTAACTTTGCAACTACATGTCAACTAGCAGTCATTAGAGTATTACTAGACTTTCTGCTTAATATTTGCTTAGACTTTATTTTGATTGTCCCCAACACACATTCTACTGACTATAAGCAACTTTGCAAGTAGCTACATGTCGACATATTCTACTAACCCTAATCCTAAACATAATGCTAACCTAACAGTCTACTAATACTCTATTAGTCTAATGAGAGTTAAATGACCTGTAGTTGCAAGTTACTTAAAGTTAGTAGAATGAAAGTAGACTATAAAATATAAAGTGTAACCAGATCAATGCTATTTTTTCAATGCTTTATTTTATTTTATTTTATTTTATTTTACAGCCTGATCTCATTGTTTACATGTAGTACATAACATTTACAGGCACAAAACATAGCAGTTTTGTAATATGTTTTGATTGATGCTGAAACATACAATTAGGACATAACGAAACCTTTAAACTGTAAACATTATGTATTCACAGCTAAACAATGTAAAATATTGACAAATATTCTATATCCTTAAGATATTTGTATAGATGCACTTTTATCATTTTCTCGAAAAATGAATTGGATTTATAAATCCCTTAAACCTACCACTAGACATGCATGTAACCATTTTATAGAGTATAAAAAGAATATAACAGACAGAAATATGCAGGAAAATTACTATTTTAGTAACAATGTAGCATTTTTTTTTTTTTTTTTTTTTTTTTTTTTTCTTCCCCC